AAGGTAAGATCTGGACCTTTGGGGAACAGCTACGGCAAAAAAAAACAGCCCTGGAACCAGGTGTAACCTGACTAGGTTTTAACTTAATCTTTCTTCTTAAGAGAATTATCCAAAAAAAAAACAAAATCAAAACATTCTTCCCCTGACTTCTGCTTGACTCGCAAAGGTAGGCTAAAAAAACATTTGTTTTAGAGTTCTTTCTTATTCTTGATACAGAGTAGGGAAAAAACACAAGGTTTATGAACCTTGAAAGGTTTTATAAAGGTTACTTATGAAGTGTGAAAGCAAAAAGCTTAATGGTTTTTTAGATAATGTGACCTTGTATGGTTTGACAATATTTTAAGTAAAATGGATTAATTATATCAACAATTTTAACGAAAAGCATGATAGGGATAATAATATATTTTATAATATAAAGAACGGTGTAAGACAGAATACTTTTAACGATACTCTAAATAGCAATTTTAACAATAGATAATTATGTTGTTAAGGTCGGGAAGTAAAATTAAAATACATATCGATACCTCAGTTCCAGACTATTACAAGTCTGAAAATCAAGTATGAAAAAATTGTGGAGATAATTGCAAATTAAGTTTTGCGTTGCTTCGTAAGTTTAATTTTCATCTATTAGTAGTGGACAGATTTTATTGAAATTATTACAGTCCATGGAACTATACTTCAGTTTGAATTTGATATAAAAATAGAAATGATTTTATTACCACAATTAATGTTATTTAAGATTATTAAGAGTTGTTAACGTTTGGAACTGATATTTTTACCAATTTGCAGAGCAAATTTAACATTATTAAGAGTTGTTAGCGTTTGGAACTGACATTTTTACCAATTTGCAGGGTAATTTTGACATGTATTCATAAGTTTGTGTACAAGTGACTAACAATAGTACAAAAATTTCTATCGAGCAACCTTTTTTTACTCCATTTATACCCTCACTGAGGGGCACAGGTCTCTGCGAACCTCCCAAACAATGGGGAGACACAACAACACTACTTGGTGGGTTGTTCCTTAAAGTATTAAGAGGGCAGTACGCTAGCAAAGTACCGGTAGTGTAATGGCTAGCATAGGAAATTCGTAATCCGGAGGTTCTGGGTTCGAACCTCGGTCCCGCCTCCCATCGTGCTATCGGGTTTTTCTCTTGCAATATAGTTAATGACCACGAAGAGCATGACTAATAACCCAAGTCAGTGGGAGAGACCCATACCCAAATCTGTGAACCAAGAAAGTCTGTTTTAAACATCGCTAACAAGAAAAGAAGAAAACTGCATCTAGGTTTAATACTTTATTTAAAAAATTATTCAATCAGTCTAAATCTTCTTCCGTCGGTCTTTCATTGGTAGATAGGCTATTGTAGAAGTCCCAGTAAGGTCTTGGAATCGCTCCAGTCTTGTATAGTGATAGTAAATCTTTCTTTTTTGCTGCAGTAACGCCCGGTAGCTGAGTATACGCTGGTTTCAGTGTTGACATTTCTGTTTGTCGCCGAGTTCTTCTACGGGTGTTTATAATTTTGAAATTCTCATCAGAAAATGAATTCTTGTACAGAATCAGATGTGGACTCTCTTTCCGTATTTCTATTATATGAATATCATTCCACTTAACTGCTGCACCGTCTTCATTTATGGTGAAATTGTCCCCTTTTATCACCAAGGACTTTATGTCATAGAAGTCTACCATTTCCTTGGTGGTGTATGGTTGGCCGGTCTTTTTAGCCAGGGAGATTATTGGCAGGAGTTGTGTTGGCACGTACAATGGTCCAGCCTTGAGAGCTCTTTTTTTTTTGTCGCTCTATCAGAGCATGCATTGCATCTCCTTCGTTCTGCGAATGCCCGAACACGAAAAATTTGTGAGTAATCGATACAATTTCCAGATTCATAACACAAAACATAAATAGGGCCACAATGAATTTATTTTTATTTTGCCCGGGACAGTTGTCAGAATAGAATACAATTTTATTTGTTGGATTTTCTTTCAAATAATTCAAGATGCAGCTCCCTATTTCATTTACTCCGCGACGAGCTACTCCTTCGTGCCAGAAGTAACTGAATCCAGCTTTTTTTCTTAATGTCATATGTGGTGAAATTATAACATGATAATCTTCTCTTGTAGAAGAAGTCACTTCTGCTGCCCTCTGGAATTGTTTGCACCGCTTGAAGATCGAAACAGCTCACCGTCGTATCTTCCGATGAATTCTTGACGTCATTGTCTTTTTCAATACGACTCCTCTTTTTTCCTGAATATGTACATTGAAATTCTCGTGTTGAGCAGATTTTTTCATCTGCGTTCAAATTTTCGTAATTCAAGCATGCATCTTTTTTTGGAGTAAAAAAAGATATATTATATTCGGTATTAAATATGGATTCATAAAGATGTTTTTTCATTTGCATTTTATTTTCCTCAGTACATTTTATACAGTATTGTCAGTACATCTCCGTCAGATTCAAGTCGCCTCGTAAATATTTCCGTTCTGTTCGAGCTCTACAATAATGGGAATCCATTATTGGAAAAGATTCCATATGCCTTCGAGCAAAATTCTTGACATCCTCGTGAATCCTTGGTCTCCCCGCATTGGGATTACCTCCTCTGTT